TTCACATACAAAATTCAATTACACTATCTTCTCACAAATATGGCATTTATCGTAGGCAATTCCCAGTCCAAGAACACGTATAGCATGAGTATTTCAGGTGATGCTTCCGACGTGAAGTTCAGTATTATGGATAGTGCAGCCAAAGCCAACAACACACCAGTTCAAGCGGTGATGAACAGTGCTGGTAAAACTGCAAGCAAGATAATCGAGAGTGGCGGTGATTTATTAACCGCACCAGTAGTCTGGTTGAAAGACATGCAACAAAATTGGATTATGTACATGGTTGCTCTTGCAATCATCCTTGGATCGATTGCATTTTTATACTGTGCTTTTCTATTCTATTGCAATCGCAAAAAGAACAGCACAGATCAAAGTCAACTCATTGAACTCGCAAAAATTATTGGCAACAAAATAGGTGCAACTCAATCGCCACTAGCCATCATGACGCCAACACCGTCCAGTCTGCCATAATAAACGCAGCACGAACCGATTCAACTGCAAAGAAGAACAGACGATTACCCATGAAACTTTGAATTATATGAGAATATTCACTTTTCTTTTTCACTTTTTCTTCCTTCCTATTTCGAAAATTTCTTGCACTCATTCCGCATTGTCCCACTAATATGCTTTTTAATAATAGGATGAAACTTTGTTTAGTTGCATCTTGTTGTTATCATTTATTAAAAGATCAAACAATTCGAAATGCTTTTAACAACCATGTTGTTATTTGTCTTTTATGTCGTATACTAATAGAAGAATTAATTGATCTTATTTGAAATATCTATTTTAATTTTACACATTGTTATTCGGCTTTATGTAGCAATTGATTTCTTGATGACATGGGGATTAATTAAACGACCTATTCTCACTTTTCATTCGACATGGTTTGGTTTTTCATTATCTACCTTTGCTAATATGTATTGTTTAACCTATTCTCTTTTATACAGTCATACTTTCAATTATACTATGTGATGTTTCATTCCATTATCATATCAGATTAATTCGCAATAATTACCAATTTCATTTATTTATGTTCTGTTAGGTCTTCAACCAATGATTTTATGTACTGTTGACTGGGTTCTATTATTTGCTTCATTTACCACAGTTGAAAATCAAATGTAAACATACAATTTCTTTCTGGCAAAGACATCGTACCATCAATCCAGAAATTATAATGATGATCTTGCTGTAGAAACTATTCGATGTTGTATTTTTAAGTAATAAATGAATAATTCATAAATAAATGTCGCAGAAATTCTGTTAAAACACTTTTTTCGTTCTACTTAACAGTACACGTATTGCCATTTGCACTATATACAGTGTTTTTGTTGGAAAAATATGATGATCATTGTACTTCCTATACATTATGTCATTTAATCATCTATAGCGTGATCTTCGTTCTATTCTATTCCATCAATGCGGCCCTATGTGTCTAACCGCTCGACCTTTGTCTCTGTCCGTATAATTAGAAGAATGACTTAGCCGAATGTAGCGGTCAATGGCGGCCACGGGTCACTTTTGTTACTAGTTCAGTGCAAACTGACCTTACGTATCTTTATATAATCTCTCATGTATGCTTATTCTTAAGTTGCATTCGCCAGAAAAAGAATTCACCAGTAGAGATGATGAAGCAATCACTGTCAGATAAAAATGTAAACGGTGGAGTTCTGCGAAACCGTTCAACACTACCATATAATGGAGGATCGTTTACACAGGAACAGATTGACGTTTTAGAACGAGGTATTTTCTTTTATGTTAAATTAAACACAAGAAAATTCAATGTTCTTATATTTAGTTTTCAATGTTAAACGTTATCCAGATCTGTTTGAACGTGAAAAGCTCGCATTAGATTTAAATATGCCTGAAGTGAGAATCCAAGTATGGATTGGTATACTCTTTAGAAGATACTTATCTGTTTTTTTTCTTGAGATATGGTTTCAGAATCGTCGAAAGAAATTACGCGAAACCTACGGTGTAGATGATTCTCAACAACATCTACCACATCTGCCAATCGCGTCCATTAATGCAGATAAAGTCTCCTCTGCAG